TCACTTTAAATCTGGAGGCATCTTTGGATCTAAAATGAGTCTCTTGCAGACAGCATATCGATGGATCTTGCTTTTTTATCCAATCTGATACACTGTGTCTTTTGATTGGGGCATCTAGCCCATTTACGTTCAGGGTAACTATTGAAAGATATGAATTTAGTACCATTGTATTGCCTATAAGGTGACTGTTACTGTATATTGTCTCTGTTCCTTTCTGGTCTGTGTTACTACTTTGGGGCTCTCTCTTTGCTTAGAGGACCCCTTTTGATATTTTTTGTAGGGCTCGTTTGGTGTTTGCAAATTCTTTTAGTTTCTGTTTGTCCTGAAAGCTTTTTATCACTCCTTGTATTTTGAATGACATCCTAGCTGGATAAAGTATTGTTGGCTGCATATTTTTCTTGTTTAGCATCCTGAATATATCATGCCAGTCCTTTCTGGCCTGCCAGGTCTCCATGGATAGGTCTGCTGCCAGTCTAATGTTTCTACCCTTGTAGGTTACAGACCTCTTGTCCCGAGCTGCTTTCAGGATTATCTCTTTGTCTCTGAGATTTGTAAGTTTCACTATTATATATCGGGGTGTTCACCTATTTTTATTGATTTTGAGGGGGGGTTCTCTGTGCCTCTTGGATTTTGATGCCTATTTCCTTCCCCAGATTAGGGAAGTTCTGTGCTGTAATTTGCTTCAATATACCCTCTGCCCCTCTCTCTCTTTCCTCTTCTTCTGGGACCCCAGTTATTCTCATATTGTTCCACTTTATGGTATTACTTATCTCTTGAATTCTCCCCTCGTGATCCAGTAGTTGTTTATCTCTCTTTTTCTCAGCTTCCTTATTCTCCATCATTTGGTCTTCTATATCACTAGCTCTCTCTTCTGCCTCATTTATCCTAGCAGTTAGAGCCTCCATTTTTGATTGCATCTCATTAATACCTTTTTTATTTTGACTTGATTAGATTTTAGTTCTTTTATTCCTCCAGAAAGGGATTCTCTAGTGTCTTCTATGCTTTTTTCAAGCCCAGTTAGTATTTTATAATCGTTATTCTGAACTCTAGTTCCAACATGGTTTTTCCTGTCTTGTCATTCTGTTCAGAGAAGAATAGATGAATAAGAGAACAAAATACTAAAATGGAAACAACGACCCCAGAGAAGTATACACTAAACAAATCAGAAGGGACCCGAAACTGAAAAAAAATTAAAAAAAAAAAAAAGCATATAATCAGACAGGTGGAAAAAAAACAGAGCAATACACTGGATCCTGTGTGTATTTTGGTCTGTTTGTTAGAAAACTAGATCCCAAAATTTTAAAGAAAGAAAAACTTATATGTACAAAATAAAATTAAATACAATGAAAGGATAGAATGTAATTGTAAAAATGAAAATTAAAAGACCAAAAAAAAAAAAAAGAATATAAACAGGTGAACAGAACAGAGCAATACACTATATCCTGAGTGTATTCTGGTTGGTTTGTTAGAAGAAACTACATCTCAAAATTGTAAAGAAAGAAAAACTTACATACATACAAAAATAAATAAATACAGTAAAAGGATAGAATGTAACTATAAAGATGACAATTAAAGACATTAACAAAAAGAAAAAAGAAAGAGAGAATATGATCAGACAGGTGAAGAGAACAGAGCCATACACTAGATTCTGGGTGTATTTTGGTCTGTTTGTTAGAAGAAACTGTACCCCAAAGTTGTAAAGAAAGAAAAACTTACATATATACAAAAATAAATAAAAGGTTAGAATATAAATGTAAAAATGAAAATTAAAAAAGATTTTGAAAAAGGAGTTGATAAAATAAGAAATTCATTGAAAAAGGAAAGAGAGGGATACCTGGGTGGCTCAGTTGGTGGGGTGTCTGCCTTCGGTTCAGGTCATGATCCCAGGGCCCTGGGATTGAGTCCTGCATTGGGCTTGCTGCTCAGCGGCGAGTCTGCTTCTCCCTCTCCCTCTGCCTGCCGCTCCCCCTGCTTGTGCTCTCTCTCTCTGTCAAATAAATAAATAAAATCTTTAAGAAAAAGGAAAGAGAAAAAAGTTAAAATTGAAAGAGTAAAGAATCATGGGGGAAAAAACATGAATTCTGTATACTATTTTCCTCTAGCATTGGAGTCTTGCCGTTCTCCATGGTTGGTAAACTTGGTCTTAGCCTGTGTTCTTGCTGATCTTCTGGGGGAGGGGCCTGTTGCGCTGTTTCTCAGGTGTCTTTGCCCAGGGCGGAATTGCACTGCCCTTGCCAGGGGGCCAGGCTAAGTAATCTGGAATGAAAATGGCAGCCTGCCAATCTCCGGCCCTTGGGCCCCACTCCTCAGGGTGCCCGCAGGGAAAAGAAGTCAGTCACTCCCTGGTCTCTGTTGGTACTCCATGCTTACCCAGCCTGTGACTGAGCGTTTCTATCTCAGGCACATGACCCCATTTAGAGTCTCCAAACCCTGCAGACTCCTGCAGCTCACAAACATGCCGCCCCTCTTGGGGGCGTCTTCTGGGGATTCTGCTGCTTGCTGGGCCCATGCTCTGGGAGGGGTCGCCCAACTGTGCTGTGGTTTGCGGTTTATGGCACCCCTGAGCTGAGAGCCCACTCCTGGGCTCACTGATTACAGCCGGCTTCCCCACTACAATTCCTGGGAACTCTGCCGCATTCAGGCACTCCTGGTCTTCCTGTGACCCCAAGACCACACTGTCCCTAACGTGGGTTATTTGTAAGCATGTGATTGAGGACGAAGGTGTCCATGCCTAGTGTTCATGGTAGGGAGTTCACCCTGCTCCTCAGTCAGAGAGTGAAGGAGTGTGAGAATGCTTCATGAATCACATGTCCCTTTCCTTTTCTTCTTTGCCTTCTATCTAGGTCTCCATAAAAGCTTTGCTTTCTCTGTCATTTTCTCAGTGGGAGGATTATGATTTTGCTGGTTTCTTCTTTAGAGAACTCAAATCCTGGAGCTGGTTGTTGATCCTGTCCTCAGTTGGTTTTCTTAGGGAATTATATTTGTTGTTCTTCTGTTTTCTTGCAAACCTTCTATGTTTTACCCTTCTCTGATACTTAGAAAAAAATTAGTGTAGAAAAGGTATCATCATGCTTTATTTTATTTAAAACAAGAAAGGATAACTTCTTTCTCATTTCAGTTATGAAAGCATGTAGTCTCAGTTTTTTGCTTTATGTATTTTTGTTTGTTTTTGGTCTGCCTGTAGGAGATCTTCTCTTATGTTTTTGAAATTTCTTTAACATTCTGTTAACCTGCTTTTGTGTGTTCATCCCCATTTCTGTTTAGTCCCAAAGAGACTGATTTCCCTCTTAGTGTTCTTGTTAAGTCAGTGGACAGATTGTAGAGTCTACAGTTTTTAAACCAAGGAAATAATTTTTGATTCCAGGTCTTGGTAAGCTGACTATGTTCTCTCTCCAACCTAGGATGGTGATCGAGACATTTTTATCGATGGGGTTGTTGCTCGTAATAGAGCCTTGAATGGGGATCTGGTGGTTGTGAACCTGCTTCCAGAGGAGCAATGGAAGGTGAGTTAAATTTTCCTTTTCTAATAATACACTACTCAGGACCTTTTTATTCCATGGTGCACCTGTGAAACATCATAAACTGGAGTAGTCACGGACTCCTAAGGTCCTGTGGTTGCCTCAGAAGCTGGCCATGCAGTGCTTCAAACTTAGAAGCATCTGGTGGGCAGACATTTAATGATTTGAGTTGTTCTCCTTGCTCCCTCCCTGTGATCTGTCTTCCCTGTCATATGCCTTGCATTGATTTCTGGTAATTTTTAGTATAGAAGAAAAGCTTGCAGGATACATTCAAACTTCTGATATGTATGATTTTCCCACATTTAATGGTGGGAGAACTGGAAAGACAAAGCCATGGGCATGGTGGCAGTCTTTACACGTTCTTGCTGCCTCTACGGGAAAACCCAGGCAACACATACCTAGTTCTGTAGGTTCCAGTTTGGTAATTGGGCTTTCCTTGGCAGACAAAAATAGACTCTGTCTTTTTATAAAACAGGGATCTGGTGGCAGAAGAAAATGTTTTTAACATGAGACTATCCTGGGTTTTAGTCTCTGTATACGTCAATTGAAAAGAAAAATGTGGTTTTTGACAATTGTTTTAAATAAAACCAATTTGTTTTAAATAAATGATTCATAGTAGCAGTTTCTTTGAATTGTCTTGTACAACTGGCAACTTGTGTGTCTAAGTCTGGGTTTTTCTTTATAGCATTTCTTCATATCTTTTATTTTATTTGGCTCAATTCACTGGTATTGAGGAATATGGTGTTCTCTTCAGTGAGAGGTACTGTAGGGATTAATAGAGTGGACTTTTAGGCTAGGCTTCTTGGGCTTGAATCCCATTTCTGCCACTCATCTATATAACCTTGGGTGAATTATATAACCTTTCTGTGCCTCAAAGTCCTCATCTGTAAAATGGGAATAATCATAGTACCTACTTCATAGGTTTGTCATGAAGATTAAATGAGAATTCATGTAAAAATCTTAGAATGGTGCCTGACCCATGTAGCAGTTCAAGCAATGTCAGTTTTTATTATTAGCTTTTACAGAAATGGAAGAAATACTATTTTATTTCAAAGCTTTGTCAAGACGTAAATTTGTTTTTATCTGATAGGGTTAGAGTAACTGAGTTAGAATGGGCAGTTTTTAAACCAAGGAAGTAATTTTGTAGGGTGTAGGTATGTTAATAATGATCAAGAGACATAGCTCTTACCTTCATGGAGCTTTTAGTCTGATGGGGAGTGCACGTAGGAAGAGACAGATACTAATCACACACAGATGTAAGGATAATTATGATTAGTGCTGTGAAGTTAAGTGCAGAGTGTTTTATAAGAGTCAGTTATCCTAGTCCCCATCCCCCAGCCCATCCTCAGTTGCTGCCAGCTGTGGTTATATCCTCCCTTGATTCCCCAAAAGCACAGCTAAGGGTTGGATCCAGGTCCTAGGAACGTAGATTGATTTAGGCCACTTCCTCTTTTCTGGAAAGCATCATCTAGCACAGTGTTGATGAGATCTAAGAAGGTAAGAGGAGTGCATTAAGGCCTGGTCAAACTAAAGGAAGTATACCTAGAGATCATTTGAGGGAGTAAAGAGGCATAATTAGATGACCCAGAGAAGGAACAAGAAAGATGGTGGTTTCCTTTAACTTAAGGAGTGGGAATGGGTAGCATAGAAAGAAATAGAAGAGTAATTAGCAAATTGGGTGAGTCCAGAGCTGACCAGAGCAGGTGTAAGGTGTTGACTGGCTGAAGAATAATAGGAATGGAGAGCATATAGTAGAGCACCTGTTGAGCTCTGCAGAGGTGGATGAGGTTGATTCCAAAAGAGCAAGGCCGGGGCACTTGGGTGGTTCAGTCGGTTAAGTGTCTGACTCTGGCTCAGGTCATGAACTCGGGGTCCTGGGATCAAGCCCTGCGTTTCATGCTCAGTAGAGAATCTGCTTCTCCCTCTCCCCCTCTCTCCCTGCTCTTGCACACTCTCTCATATGGATAGATAAAATCTTTGGGGAAAAAAAAAGAGCGAGGCCAAGTTGCCTAACATCCTTCCTATCTTAGCTCTGGCAGGGGATGGCTAAAAAAAACAAACATATGAATAAATAAATCAGTTGCATTATTTTCCTTGTTCTTCACCCCATTTGTATTTAAGACCAGCAAGCACAGCCTTTCCTGGTATTGTCAGATGCACTCTTGCTTTGGACAGGAAGCCTAAGAAGATGAGAGTAGGTTGGAGGTGAGGATGTTTATTATCAAAAGTTGTAGAAGGACAGCTTAGGACTTTGGCATTCTTATTTCTGCCTTGGTGCCTTTGCTTCTAGACAAAAACCTATACCTCCATTGAGACTCAACACAGCAAAGTTGTGTTTTTTCCCAAGAGGCCTACATTTGTGATTTTGTAATTCCTAGGTCACTGGAGCTAGTTAAGCAGATAAGAATTTACTGAAATTCTTACAGCATTCCCACAGTCAGTATATTCAGGCTATATTGACACAGCTTGTTGTTTTTCTATTTTACAGTTAATATCTAAAGGCAGAAGAGATTAAGGGCCAGATGGGAGTTTTAAGCCAGGGAGTGACATGGTCTTATTTAGCCAAAAATTACTCTGGCTGCTATTTGGAGAATGGAATTAGCGGGGGCAATATGTGTTGGCATAGCCAGTTAGGAGACATAGACTGAGTCATGACAGTAAAGATGGAGAGAAGTAGGGATACATTTTGAAAGTAGAGCTTATGGGACTTGAAGATGGATTTGAGGAGTAGGATGAGGGAGAGGGGGGGAATCAAGGATTAAGATTCTGGTTTAAGCAAAATGGGTGAGTATGATGTCATTAATTAAAGTTAGGGATAGTAGGGAAGAGCATGTTTGGGTGCAAAAATTATGAGTTCTGCTTGACCATGTTAAGTTTTAATTTCTTTTCAGACATGTTAATAGAGATGTTGAAAATATATGGAGGCCTAGATGGTTCATTACTCATAAATTCTACTAAACATTTAAGGAAGAAATAATCCTGAGTCTACACAAATGCTTTCAGAAAATGCAAGAGGAGGAAATCTTTTTCAACTCATCCTATGAAGGCAGCATTGCCTTAATATCAAAACAAGGAAAAGACGTTATAAGAGAAGAAAACTACAGACCAGTACTCCTCACAAACATAGTTGAAAAAGTCCTCAACAAAATATTAGCAAATAGAATGCAGCAACATATTGTATTAAAAGGGTAATACAACCTGAGCAAATGGGGTTTATCTCAGGCATGCAAAGTTGGTTTAATATTTGAAAAGCCATTTGATGTAATTCACCGTATTAACAGACTAAACACCATATTTCAGTCAATGCCATCATTTTATTTATTTATTTATTTAAAGATTTTTATTTATTTGACAGAGAGAGACACAGCGAGAGAGGGAACACAAGCAGGGGGAGTG